AGAATCATATAAGACATCTTCCAGAGGAACTGTCATAAGCGTGCTCCACAACAAATCAGAAGTAATTAGAGCGTTCAGGTTCTCAGACATTAGTGGGAGAGTATGCAAAACATCTTACCCCTTGGCTCCCCTTGAAGCAAATCGCTGGCTGATTTGATAGTGATGCCTGAGGAGAGAGAGAGAGAAAAGGAGACACTGGTCAGTGATTGAATCAACAGCTCATGCATTATGAGTAAAGAAATACCGTCATTGTTTCTAGATAACTGCCGTTTGGATTAGGGAACTTAAAACGCTAAAATGTTGCCATCACTCCAAGCTGGTCCGCTGCTCAGATGCTTCTTGTTTTAATCAGAGGAGACTAATGTGAGCGTTAATCGTTCCATATCCTGCAAAAAACTTTGCTCATGTCAGTCGGCTGGCCGAGCGCGTTTGTGCGCGGGTGTGCGCTTCGGCTGATTTCCCCTCTAAATGAATAAAAGGCTAAAAAGCAGATCCCAGAGGAAAGACAAAGTACGCTCTGAAACCAATTATATGTCTTTGAAAAAAAAAAAGCACTTTTAAAAGCCTGCACTGTGCTGGAAATACTGTACTGCTCTCCAAGACCACAGTGAAACCTGGCTTAAGCTCCTGAACACAATATTGTTTCTCTCCCAGCTAAATGATAAAGAAATATTTGAAAAATCCCTTTAAAAATGAAGCCTGCTTTTGAGTCGACACGACTCTCAGTAAATAGCTGGAGACTGTTATCCACGAAACACAGCTTTGCCTGTGATTGACAGGGCTCGTAATTTATTATTAACAGCTTTGAGAAATGTCTTCCCTATTGAGTATTGTTTTGATTTTCTTCATAATCCATTAGCTTTTAATATTGAATGGAATAATAAATTTTAAAGCACATAACACAGCCGTAAGGCTAAGTCTAACTTGTTAAAGGCCCAGATTTGATCATTTACTCACTAAAAGAGCCGTTGTTTGACAGAATTGAAATAATTGGTTAATTGAAGAGCTTTTATAACACGTAACTGGTGGTTTTACAAATGTCAACAGACTGTTTATTTATTAACAATTAGCAAGATTTCTTTGAGGGGGTTGCCAGGTTGAGGAAAAGCCCTCTGACTGATGTTTATTGTTCTACCTCAGTGGCATTTAAACCACATTTATTAACAACTGCAAACATGACGGCTTATTGGAAAACGAAGACTAATGGGTGTTTAGTGACGGCTCGTCACATTTAAATAAAACTAAAGGAATTTATTACAACTTGGGAAAACATAAAGTTGTTACTGATTTGTAACTTGAAGTATTAGTAAAAATGTTATTGACCTTTAGTAAAACCACTGTTATTTGCTAAAATGGCATCCATTACAAAGAGCTGCAGATTAATTCATCAACATAAAATAAGCAATTGTTCTTATTCTTATTTTTGAGCAGAAAGCAGCAGTGGTTTCCTTGTTTCCTTAAATACCTGCTGTTTTTTGGGTAATTATGGGTAATTATGATTTTACAATAATGTTATAACAGTTGTGACAAACTGTTATAGCATTATAAAATGGTTTAGTGCATTAGATCTTCAGCTACAGCCCTTATGTGATAAGCTTTTATAGTTTCCTTAATAAAATCATTCTCTAGCTTGAGCTTTACAAAACCACATGTATGAAAAGCATAAATAAATCATAACTAGTAACAGAAACTCTCAGGTTGCGGCTCCTTGGGACAACATCTTTCACAGCTCGGTGGGAGACCAGCGGTCTAAAACCGTATTTACTATGGGTGGTCTTTGACTTGGAAAACTTTTGCAGTAACCTCTCCTGCCTGCCTGCTGTGGCCTGGGAGAAGCTGTCAGGTCTATGAGCTCTGGAGTTTACTCTGCTTCACAGACCAATGAGCTCCGGAGATGGGCGGGCGTCCAAGCGTGTAAAGGCCAAAAAACAATACACAAGAGCACAGCAACAACTTGCAAAACCGTGCCACGCCGACCCAATGCGTACTACACAGCTGATCCACCGACTCCCAAACCCAGAGTTAGTTTTGGGCTGTTGTCTTTTATGGCCCGTGACCGGAAATAGACTTGTTTTGATGGTTAAACAGGAAGCAAACAAACTATATTTAAGCAAATATGACTTCAGTCATAACTGGGACTAACTGTCTTATCGAGCATTGCTCTGGGAAAGACAATTTAGACAGACTAAATTATCCCGGTCTAATCTAATGGACCATAAAAACAATAAAGCAGTCTCCAGATTCGGAGCAGTCGAATAATTTGCTTGATAGCTTGTTCATTAATTTATTCATCAGAGCGGAATAGACAGGGGGAGAAAAAAGCCTTTTAAAGAACATTTAATGATCGGCAGGGACAGTAAGTAGTGCGCATTTGGAAACGCAAAGCAGAATTTATGATACCAACAGAGGACGGTAGTAGTCCCCAACCACATTTTGTTTATAGGAAATTGCCTGCGTTTTCCCATAATCTAAATGTATATATATTTTTAGATCTAGTGTACTGACACGCAAAAACAAAACAGCGAAAACAAGCCCAGGGGATAACCACAAACCTTTGTCATAAAATAAATCTAATACCTTTTGGTTTTCAAGCAGATTACGATTTGATAAACGAGCAGTAACTTCAGATTACAGGAAAATTCAGTCACCAGAGTGAAATGATTTGTTGTTATAATCACAATAAATCATGCTCAGCCTGCCTTTTACTGTAACACAGCCAGAAGAAAGTAACGCAGTACACAATTATCTACCAAAAACGCTTTTGTCGACGACATTTGAACCGTCTGTAATCGGGATAAGTGGGCAAACTTCACAGTTTTCTCCCTAAAATAAGGAACTGTCTTATTTTCATGCAGGTCCCGGAGTTGGGAGGCGATTCAAAAACAAGAAAATATAGAGAGGAAAAAAGATCCACAAGCTCCAAAGTTGGTGAACCTGATCAATTGTCTTACCTTCAAGTTCTGGTAGGCTTCGAGGGTCCGGATGGCGGTGTCAGTGAGCTTGACGTGGTACAGAGTTTGATTCGGGGTGTTTTTGTTGATTTTAGCACAGGAGAGCCCATACCGATGCTCCTGTCTCAGCGCTGCCATTTCTACAACTGAGAGCTGCTGCTGGCGACATTCTGCCTGAAACGTCACCGAGGAGACGACCGTCTGTGGGCGGAGCTAACACACACACTTACAGGAGCACGCACGCACGTACACACGCGTACTTTCGCTTTCGAGAAGTTCCAGTCGTCGGACACCCCGGTCTCTTTTTATCTGCTCTTTGATCCGTTCGCGGTTTGGGGTTTGGTCGAAGTTAATCTCATCCACCGGGGTTTTGGTAAATGCATGTCGTCACTGTTTGCAACGTTAGAATAAGGTAGACTATAAAAAGTTACACCTGATGGGATGTTAGCTGTAATTTATGTTTAATTTCTGTAGCATATTTTCGAGTTTTAACTGCAGACAAGTATAATAAATAGTTAACCTGCTATCTTAACCTATCTATCTATCTATCACTCTCTCGCTCTCTCTCAATATATATATATATATATATATATATCTTGTCTAACAGTGGCTACAAGGAAACTTTAAAATTTGAATCATTTTATTCAGAAAATCTTCATTTAAAATTTAAGAAAATAATACAATATTTATTGACGTGTGAGGAGAGGATCTGGAACCAAACAATTTTTTAAATTATTATTATTATTATTATTATTATTATTTCCTTTAAATCTGGCTAAAAACTAAAGCAAGTATTAAAGAAATTCCAAACCAAACTCCTTACTTAAAAACATGTGTAGCCTATCTTATCTCCATATAGCAGAAATCAAATAAGCACTTTCATTCATTTCTTAACAGATAACTTACTTTAGCTGCTGATTAAAGAGCACAGCCAGCTCTTATTTACGTATACATATTAGCCAGTTCTCTACTTGAGGGTTTACAAACTATTTTTGAAATAAAAGTGTGATCATAAACCACTTAATACCTAGTGTATTTTGCAGTGCTTCAGATTTTGTTATTGTTGTGTTGATATGGTAAAATGAAAATTGTGGGAAATAATTTTACAGTGATCTGTTATTGAAACAATGTCAGTGGGTTATTATTTTCTGTTTTTTTTTCTGTTACATTAGCACAAACCTGATAGCGTTATATCATTACCTGTGAACGATAGGTCTGTTGACCCACAGCCAGAGGCTCCTGGATTCAGAGCAGGGCGTTTTTCCCAGTGATTGAGCTCCCGCACTCATGGGCATTGTCATGAAAGGGATTTTAAATCCAAAAACTTTCACTTCCTAGTTTAAAAAAAAAAAGAGCAGAATAGTTTATTTCACTTTTTAATTATGAGATAAATCTAATTGGAAGTGTAGAACAAAAAAGAAATCTCACTTTTCCAAATATCTTGCTCCCATACATGTTTGGACAAATGCTTTTGGGCCACACCTCATAATCTTCAAAGTCAGAGTTTTTCAGTCTTGTTGCCACAGTTGTGTCAAATCAAGCACCTTAGCCATGCAATGGGAATGATACCATAACACAATGCAACCAGTATAAGTCAGTTTCTGAAATGTCTTTTCTCTTGGATATTCCATGGTCAACTGTAAGTGGTATTATTACAAAGTGGAAGCATTTAAGAACCACAGCAACTAAAAGGCACAAAGGCACCGACCACGTAAAGTCGTAGAGTATGGTCACTGATGTTGTAAAAGTTGCCAATGCGCTAGTGATTCAATAACTTCCTCTGGCATTAACATCAACAGGAAACTGCACCAGAAGCTTTGTGGCACGAGTCAATGGCCAAGCAGCTCTTGTAGCTGTAATATGTAGACAACCCAGTGCTTTTACTCATGTAGTGTATATATGTTGTGTTGCTTTAGTGTAAATCTGCTGTTGGCCCGGGGTGTAAAGTTAAATAGCAGCTTAAAAAAATCTGGCTTGTGTGTTTTAAAGATGAAACATTTGCATATATTTTCTTTACAACCATGACAAAAGCAAACATCGCATGGAAAGCGTGATGGATAAAACACTGCATTTGTTTCCATTTCTAACGAATAACTGTGACTAAAGCCAAATGGATTGTGCATAAACTGTAATCCACGGTTATCTTTGCAGCCTGGGTGTTATCACGGGTCATCTGTGAATCCTGTGACACTTCAGCGAATATACAAATCTCCAGTGCAACTTGGGGTAAATTAAGTGGGAGCCTGTGTCTGCTGAGAGCTCATTGGTAGATACTGCATTCATGGAAACTGCGTTATGGAGCACAACGGTGAAGTCATTAAGAAGCTTACAGACGTTCTGGCAGATTAGGTTTTTCTCTTCTAATCCTGTAGATTACCACTGCACAAGCCCTGCTGGCTGAGAGTGCGTCGATGCGTTGCAGTTTCTTTACATTGATCATTTTTGTGTGTGTGTACTAAAGTGTCATCACTGAACTACGTAGCCTAAGACTGATACGAGCGGAAAAAAGGACAGGTCAAAGTGCGCCAGAAGTGCCGAAAGTAGGCAGGGGACCAGCGCTTTGAAAAAACCACTGATGAAGCTAGGATTTAAGGATCTGACCTGGATTTACTGAAGCGCAACATGGATTTTTGTAAATATTATTTGAAGGAGATATTTTGTTGCACTGACACACCATAGTTGGTGAACAGAACTCCTAATCTACACCTAAGGAACCACTGGGTGAACAACGAGGATCATCTCTTTTGGAGGCCCATGCTCTCTGTAGTGAAATGGAGACAGAGCCATGTTGTGATGCGCATAATGACCCTGGAGTAACGGCTACAGAGTCTGATGTGAAGGAGGCAATTTTTGGACTTGTTGATGGAAACAGTCTCAATGAGCTGCCCCGTGCGCCTGCAGAGGAAGGCGGGGAGCTGTTTGGGAGTGAGCAGGCTGAAACAGAGAGAAGTGCAGCAGAGAATAAAGACACTGAGATAAAAAGCCCCTCTGATCCTAAGCAAGAGAGTGGAGAGACAGGATGCAAGGCAGTGAAGAAATTCAAAAAATCAAACAGTTGGAAAATGGTAAGATTTCAAGACCCATCAACAGAAGATGATGTGTTGGAGAGGGACAGCTCCACGGAGAGTCTCTTTCCTGAATATGCCACACAGGAGTGGACTTCCACAAGCTTTGAAGAGCTGTTCATGGCAGAAGATTGGACAGAGATTACAGGTAAGATACATTATGTGTTGGTAGGAAATCCTTTAAAAAAATAATGAATTAGATTTTATAACCTTTATCTATCTCATATAGTTTTGACAACAAACTAAAACAAATGACCAAAACGTGACCGAGCTCAGGCCCGGCCTGTTTGTGGCTGTTTCTGAGCACGTGTTTACCCACAGCAGATTGACCCCATTTCCTTCTGCACAATCTTTTCTTCTTTCCTCACGCAGAGGACCGGCTGTTGAGGAAGAAAGTGCTGGAGCCTGGGACTCCACAGGGCCCGCGCCCTGCCTGGGACCAGGAGGTTACTGTAAAGATGCAGTGTGTCCTGGAGGACTGCACTGTGGTGGAAAAGGACTGCAAGCTTGTCTTTGTTATTGGAGAGGGAGATGTGAACCAGGTGAAAGCTTTTAACCCATAAGCCACTGCCACAACGTGTGTTTCTGCATTATTGAGAGTGTGTATTACATCACACTTGTTTGTCTCTGTATTACATCACACAGTGACGGATAGAGACACAAAAAGTAGGTCAGGAAATCTCTCTAGCCAAGCTGCTGAGTCCGTGAGCTAACATCAGCATGCTAACATGAGAGTGACTCAGAACATGGGGCTGTTTGTGATTAAAACAAAAGAAAAAAGAAAAACACAAACTATAGTCGAGGTCAGAAGCAAGAGCCAGGCTGAAACCAAAAATCTGGAACTGGTTAATTACTACTTAATTACTGCTCATAAGATAATTACAGATGAAATAATTTGTTGCTGCGCTGCTAAAACGAGGCAGAATCCTCTGGATGAGGTTCAATTCAATTCAAATCAGTTTTTTCTCATATAGCACCAGTTCTCAACAATAGTCAATCAAGACACTTTGTATTGTAAAGTAAAGACCCTAAAATATTAGAAAGAAATCTCAACAATCACACGATCTCCCATGCGCCAACACTTGGTGACTGTGGGAAGGAAAAACTCAATTTTAACAGGAAGTAACTTCATGAGATAGCTATTAGTTATGTAATCATAAAAAACAGAATTGCTCACCAACGTTTTTCTGTCTTATTTATTCAGAAGATATTCTGAGCTATATATGAATATCTAAACCAAATGTAAAGATAAGCCATCCAATAAATATTAGACTTAACCATCAACCTCTTGTGGTGGCACAAGAGGAAACCTCAGTGGCACACGCGTAAAAATATTGCTTGTCCTCTAATATCAAAACAACCAAGTCCAAACGAGACCTATAAGACCAACCAGACAGACTGACATTGACAGTCATCAAGCTAGCATATCGGAAAACCAGGTTCAGATACTTGGAGTTCATCATCTAACGTTGCAGTCAGTTAGAAGAAGCAGACACTGAAGAGTTGTGTCTTTTGTGTAATTCAAATAATACGTACTCAATCCTCTAAATGACTTGTACTTTGAGACCTGCAGGCCTTGGAGGAGTGTGTCATGTCCATGCAGAAAGGAGAGATCACATTACTGCTAACAGATTCGCAGTATGCCTATGGACTTCTGGGAAGGTAAGGACTTTCCAGTTATTGTTGTTTGATGATAGTGTTATGAACTAATGAAATGCAATGAAACGGAATCAAGAAGTGGGCTGTTACTCTTTTTTTTTTCAACATGAATGACAATTAGATATCATCCCAGTTAGCCGCCCAGACCTCTTGAACCTGTTGCTGTGGGGGCGGCCTGGTTATCCAGGGGTAGCAGGGTTAATGGACCATAAACAGGAGCAGATGGCTTCCACCTAACAGCCTGCAAAGGCTGCCTATCACCGGTGCTTTCGCAACATCCCGACCTATGGGAGCGCAGCGCTCACGTTATGGCCACTGGTTTGGGTTTATAACCTTTACACCATTAAAGAGTCAGGATAAACACAGAGGAGATTGGTGTGTCACTGCAGAAAACCCGATTGTTTATAGTTTAAATGTTTGTTCTAGATAACCTGAACACATGAGAATGAGACAGTAATGCACCACAGTGATTAGATGAGATTGTGTACAACACCAGTGAAAAGACTTAACGAAAACATATTAGCAGATGTTTTTAATGCGATTTGTTTCCCCCTGCATGATGTTGCTGTAACATTTTTTCCGCACAGCATTTTAATCCATATTAAGCAATTTCATAAAAAGTAAAATTGTGTCCATTAATTTAATTCTAAAAGCCATAATGTGAGCTCTGTACTAATGTTTGAATAGCCCCACACCCATTAGAGCAAATTAAAGATTATTAGACAGTGGCTCTCTGACTGGAGAGTAGTAACAAATATCACATTTGTCTGCATTTTTTTCTAGGTGTAAATCATACTGTACCATTAACTGAGAAGCTGTAATTCAGAGTAATTCATAAGAAAAACATCTATACGCCCCAAAATACTATGTATCAGTGAAAGACTGAAAAAGGTTCAGTGAACTTTGTTCAGATTTACTGAGCACAGTGTTTTTCCCCTAGTGTGCGTGTAGGTTATAATGAGTGCTGTACATAAGGTTCTGTTTGTGTTACGGAGATATGTGCACAACGTGATGTGTGAGAGGTAAGGACGAGGAGTGTCTGAGGTGTTGTCTGGAATCTGGCCCAGAGTTGTGCGTGCAGTAAGAGACAGCAGGAGGTTAGTTAATGATTGTTTTGATGGAGCTGATTAGGGCTGTGTGCTGTGGAGTCAAACTTATTTGTGCCTAAAGGTAGACAATCAGAGCTTCGTGCTGGTTTAGATTATATTCGTCTGTCACTAAACTAAATATTTAGTGTGACGTTTGAGAATTTTAGTAGTGTGGCATGTTTCAAGGGATAAGCTTGTACCTGCCTGCGTAAATTTAAGCAGCAACAGATGTCGTGTTTCACTGTAGACGTGATGGCTGTAAAATATAAGACAATGAGGCTAAATCTCAGCAGCCTCTTTCTGTTTGAAGGCACATTGCTGAGTGGATTGAACTGTGTTAGTCACCTGTTGCGCACAATGCCACTTCACCGTTGTCTGCAAGAAGGGTGCCAGTGTGATTCAGCACAGGGCGGTGGAGTGGTCTTTAGTTCGGTGTGTGGGTGATGGGCTGGCTGCTGCTGCATGCTGTGATCATGAAATGCAAATGTGAATATTGAAAAGAGGTGAACACGAGGATGATGAAACGCTGACAAAAGTCGGCAGCGTTTAGCCGCTTGGTTACAGAATAAAAGATTAAGGAACGCTGACGTTTGTCCTGTGAGAAAGAAAGGCTCAGAGCCCTTTAAAGACTACAAGTGACAAAAGACTTCATCATGTTCGCCTTTTTGTGGAACAGAAGTGTGCGTCAGTTCTGTTCCCGCTGAGAGATGCTACTTAGTCAGAGACACAGACTGCATCCCCTCAATCAGCAGGTCATTATCAGAGAGGAGTGGAAGCTAACATCTGTTGATCTCTGGACGGGCACTTTAGCATTCATAAAACCTTCAGGAGCCGGAGCGAGCCTACCTCATCTGTCTTGCACAATCCCAAAGTCAACAACTTTATCTATCACCAGTAGCTGCTTTCTTTTTTCGTCGCTGTACGGCTAAACTCGCAAAAGGAGGAACTGTAATTTGAAAAGTTTACATTATGCACAGCACATGTATTTTTAGCTCTGTCTCACTGTGAAGAGAGTGCACCCTACGGTTATTTTGGCCAGCTGTCAACAAACATAAACAGAAGGTTTAACACTCGTGTTGGCACCAAAGGTGTTGGCGTACGTTTACTCCTGGCATTACTGAGAACTAACTCAGCGGCATACATGTTAAAGTGGAGTTAATTAGACCACTGGGAAGTGTCAGAGTTAAATTAATAGTTTTATCCAAGTCCAGATGGACAGTGCCAGCCAGCTAATTATTCTAGTTTTGCAACAATGTGTTATGAGGGTCTTGTGTGCTATTTATCATCAATCCATGTATTGTTTATTTGGCACTGCTGTTCAGCTTATTACTATTACAAGTATTATTAAAATAAAAAAAACAACAACTTTAAATTTCTTGGTTTACAAAATAAAACATTTTAAAACAAACTTCAAATAGAAATATTAAGAGCATGGACGTGGTGCAAAAGCCAAGCTTGGATATGACATGTCTACATGATATATACACTCACCAGCCACCTTATTAGGTACGCCATTGTAATATTGAGTTGGAGCTCTTGTTGCGTTCAGAACTGTCTTAAGTCTTCATGGCATATATTCAACAATGTGCTGGAAACATCCTCCAGAGATTGACATGAGAGCATCACACAGTTTGTTGGCTGCCATGATGTGAATCTACAGTTGAACCACATCCCAAAGGTGCTCTGTTAGATTCAGATCTGTTGACTGTGGAGGTCATTTAAACACAGTGAATTGTAATGTTCAAGAAACCAGTTTGAGATGATCTGAGCTTTGTTACATGGTCTGTTATACTGCTAGAAGCAGCCATCGGAAGATGGGTAAGCTGTCATCATGAAGGGATGACATGGTCAGGAACAATAGTCAGGTACTCTGTGTTTTTAAACAATACTCAGTTGGTACTGCAAATAGTGCCAAGAAAATATACCACACTCCATTACACCACCAGCAGCCTGAACTGTTGATACAAGGCAGGATTAATGCTTTCAGGTTGTTTATGCTAAATTTGACCCTACCATCCGAAGGTCCCAGCAGAAGCTGAGACTCATCAGACCAAACAACATTACTGTGATTCTTTACTATCCAGTTCTAGTGCGTCTGTGCAAACTGGAGCCTCGGATTCCTGTTCTTAGCTGACCAGAGTGTTGGTCTGCTGCTGTAGCCCATCTGCTTCAAGGTTTGATGTGTTGTGCATTCAGAGATGCTCTTCTGCATACCTTGATTGTAACAAATTGGGTTACTATTGATAAGATAAGATAAGATAAGATAAGATAAGATAAGATAAGATAAGATAAGATAAGATAAGATAAGATAAGATAAGATACGATACGATACGATACGATAAGATAAGAGTCTTTATTGTCATTGCACAGCCACACATAGTACAATAGTACAATAGTACAATGAAATTGGAAAACTGTCCCACGTCGGCACGTACAACACAACACAACACAACACAACACAACACAACACAACACAACACAACACAACACAACACAACACAACACAACACAACAACTTATGTAATAAAAGTAATAAAAAGAAAAATAAGTCTATGTGTATTGCACATTGTTATTATTGAACCTTGTTATGAATATAAATATTATTATTTTTATTGTTGTTACCCCCCGAAAAAGTCCAGGGAGGTAGGCAATCAGGTCAGCTGTTTGCATTGATTAGGGCTATTGTCCTGTTGTAAAAGCTGTCCTTGAATCTGTTCGTCCGTGACCTCAGCAGCCTGAACCTCCTGCCAGACAGCAGCAGCTCAAATACCCGGCGTCCTGGGTGTGTGCAGTCCTGTAGGATGCTGCGTGCGCTCTTGAGACAGCGAGTGCTGTAGAGGTCCTTCAGGGAGGGAAGAGGATGTCCAATGACTTTTCGGGCCATATTAATGACCCTCTGAAGTGCTTCCCTATCAGATTGGCAGAGTCAGACCATTCTCATCTGAGCCCTGACACCAATGAGGTATTTTCTCTCAGACAGAATTGGTATTTACTGGATATTTTCTCTTTTTTGGACCATTTTCTATTAACCCTAGAGGTGGTTGTGTGGAAAAACCCACTATATTACATGTTTCTGAAATGCTCCAACTGGCCCGTCTCACACCAACAACCATGCCACTTCACTTTTCTTCCCCTTTTCTGATATTGAGTTTGAATTTCAGCAGATCATAGTAACCACCAGTGTAGATACTAAACTCAGTTGTTTGCGTGTGGTCAGCTGATTAGATATTTGTCAGTATTTAGAGCACTCATCAAACATCCCTTTCCTGCTTTCAGGCTAGCGAATGTTAAGATACATTCATATAAACTTGGCAAAGTGGCACTTAGAGTTTAGTTTGAAAATAATCCAAAATTAAAACCTTCATTTGATTTCCAGAATAAATTATAATAAGTGTGGTCAGATCGACTCAGTTAGCATTGGGGTTTTATTATCAGTATGTGAGTTATACCATCTCCTGACAGGACAGTAAAGCATCAAAGTACACACATAACTAGAAGATTGTAGTGTTCTCAGCTAAGGAGCCAAAATCCTATTTTAATAAAATAATTAGTTCCTTCTTTCTCTGCTCCTCTTCATCAAGTTCATAAGAGAGAATGTGAAGTGCAAAACGCAATTGCAATATACATATGAATAGCCACTAAAGGAAGGGCAGAAGCACTGTGGAAGAACAGGAGACGGCTATTGTCAGTTTCTGAGGAGAGAAAAACAAACAAGTGGAGGGGAGGAATCTCCTTCTCTTTGGCCCCAGGGGATGTGGGCTTGGTAGCTTCTGGAGCTTTGCTTACACCACCTTTACTCTTCTGACTTTATTGTTGGAAAGGTGAAAGACACTTTATAAAGCTTCCGTTCATGGGAAAGTACTGTAAGACTCACCTTAATAATCATTGTAATTTTGTAATATGTGGGTCTCAGTG